ATGACAAGCTGCTCTGCCAAGCCGTCATGCTGCTTCTTTGGATTTCTTCGGTGCGCTGAATTCACTAATGGCATCACACGGGGCTGTACTAGCTCCCCTGGTGACGGACGCCTGCAACTCTTCCTGCTTTCATCCAAGACGGACCCATTCGGTAAAGGCGTTACTAGTGACATTGGCCCGTCTGTACCGCCGTACTGCCCGGTCCGTGCCATTGTTAGCTACCCATCTGTCACTCGTCGCGAGGGACCGGAGCAACTCTTGTTCGTACTCTCGAACAGACAGCAGCTGACCAGGCAGTCATTCACAGTAACAGTATGGTCTCTTGTCGTTGCGGCCGGTGTACCATCCCAGTCGAACTACTCCGGGCATTCGGTCCACATTGGTGCAGCCACCACTGCTGCTATGGCTAGTGCCCCGACTCCTTCTTCCGAGTGGCAGGTCAGTGGAAAGAGCGATGCGTGTCTACGCTACATCCAGACTACAACAAGCGCATAGCGCCAGCTATCATCCCGGCTTGCTGCCGTGCCATGGATGCCATGATCCCCAACTCGGGTGAGTAATGAGCTACTGAACTCTAGCTGCGCAATGCTTGCCTGTGCTGACATTAATTGACCCTTGCTGTGCGTCAATAGTGCTTAGCTAACGGAGTGCTGGTTTCATGGGTCCACTCTCACAACTGGTGTTATCTAGCTATTTGCTGCGGCTCTGCCTTGCGCTATATTACATCCATTTAGCATTGCAGCTCTACGTTGAGCTAACAGCAGCTCTACTTTGAGCTAACAGCAGCTCTACTTTGAGCTAACAGCAGCTCTACTTTGAGCTAACCGCAGCTCTACTTTGAGCTAACAGCAGCTCTACTTTGAGCTAACAGCAGCTCTACTTTGAGCTAACCGCAGCTCTACTTTGAGCTAACAGCAGCTCTACTTTGAGCTAACAGCAGCTCTACCTTGAGCTAACAGCAGCTCTACTTTGAGCTAACAGCAGCTCTACTTTGAGCTAACAGCAGCTCTACTTTGAGCTAATCGCAGCTCTACTTTGAGCAAACAGCAGCTCTACTTTGAGCTAACCGCAGCTCTACTTTGAGCTAACCGCAGCTCTACTTTGAGCTAACAGCAGCTCTACTTTGAGCTAACACCAGCTCTGCTCTGAGCTAACACCAGCTCTACTTTGAGCTTCAAACCAGTTGTTTCGAAACCAGCGCTCCTCAATCCAAAGATGCCTCTTTGTTGACTTGTTTGTGTGAGGGATGGGGCTAAAAGATATTTAACCGGAACACGCTAAAGTTCAGTTACAGTTGCATGCCAAATGTCGCCACCATCATCAAGCAACACAACAATAGTATCCTCCGCAGCGACCACCAGAATAAGACCAAGGATGTGAGAACCTGCAACTGCCGTGTCAAAAATGATTGCCCCTTGGAAGGAAACTGTCTAGCATCGAGCATTGTGTACAGGGCACATGTAACCGGCAGCGACATGAAGGAGTACACTGGATTAACGGAAGGGACATTCAAGACGCGATTCAATGGTCATCAACATACTATTCGCCACAAGAAGCACGAGACCTCAACGAGACTGTCCAGACACATCTGGAGACTGAAGGATGAAAACAAACCTTACAGTATCAGGTGGTCCGTTGTGAGGAGAGCCGCACCATACTCTAACATCTCGAAGCGCTGCAATCTGTGTCTGGTCGAGAAGCTGGAGATTGCCTGGGCCGACAAGACCCGCTCCCTCAACAAGAGGTCAGAGCTTGTGTCCAAGTGCCGTCATGAAAACAAGTTCTACCTCTGTAACTTTGCGCGCAAGGTCAAGTGAATCTAGCTGGTAGTCCCGCTGCCAAGTGTGTGTGTGTGTGTGTGTGTGTGTGTGTGTGTGTGTGTGTGTGTGTGTGTGTGTGTGTGAGTGTGTGTGAGTGTGAGCGCGCATGTGTATGTGTGTGTGTGTGTGTGTTTGTGTGCATTCGTGAGAAAGAGAGTGTGTGTGGGTGATTGGATAAGTGCGGGTGCAAGTATGTGTGCGGTAGGTGTGAGAATGAAAGGATGGGTATTGTGGCCGTTTGTGTGTGTGTGTGTGTGTGTGTGTGTGTGTGTGAGAGAGAGAGAGAGAGAGAGAGAGACAGAATGTTTGTGTGAGATTTGGAGAATGTGTGTGTGTGTATGTAAGATTTAGAGAATGTGTGTGTGAGATTTGGAGAATGCGTGTGTGTGTGTGTGTGTGTGTGTGATATAGAGAATGAATGTGTGTGTGCGTGTGCATGTGTGAGATATAGAGAATGAATGTGTGTGTGTGTTTGTGTGAGAGAGAGAGAGATTTAGAGAATGTGTGTGCGGACGCGCGTGTGAGTGTATGTGTATGTGAGAAAAGGGAGAGAGTGTGGGTGTATGTTTGTGTTGTGGTGTGGGCATGTGTGGATTTGGCATCTGCCCCCAGCTCTATTCTATATCATTCATGCCGGAACTACTGCTGCATAGCCCCAAGTCTGAAGACTTGGCAACTTCACGCCTGTACCTGACTCTTGCGCTATGATACGCGTCGCCTATGACACCCCTCGGAATTTCCCACCTTGCTCCCCCTTATGTTCTGGCTGCCCGTTTTGGATCCATCAGTTGCCTGATGATCGTAGAGATACTGAAGTACGTGAAACTCGGAGTTGTGACAAAGCTTCCAAACTCTCTCTTGTGTAATAATAAGAGATGTTTAATTAAACTAAACTTATACTTGGAACAATAAAGCAGCAGTTAGCAGTAAACACAGTTATACAATACAGGCGGTGCAGATCAATGAAGCCGTTTGCTGAAAAGAAGATCAAAATACTTCTGAAAAGAAGTCTTTAAGCATGGTCATAATGGGATAATGCAAGAATTAAAGAGATGTTTTTAAAAACGAATTTAAACTAGGAACGCAGTAAACACAGTTATACAATACAGGCGGTGCAGATCAATGAGGGCGTTTGCTGAAAAGAAGATCAAAATACTTCTTTTAGCATGGTCTGAAGGTGCTTAGCAAATGTAGTGCGGTGCTGGGTGCGCCACTCCACGGGCAAAGGTGAAGTGCGAAAGACTAGAGAAGTGTGAACTAATAACAGGGGTGGGCGAAGACAAAAGAATATGACGAGGAGGTGAGAAATAATAACAATGTGAGGCTCAGAGTGGGTGAAGTGTAAGGAGTACGTGCATGGGTATGTGGGTGGGTGTATGTGTGTGTGAATTCTAAGAGAATAGTCTAAGTTTAATGACATTTAACTCGTTAGGAAATTTTGTTATCCTCGTTTTATTATTGTTGAATTGCTACGTCCAATGTCCGCTTCGCTGATTCTGCTGATTGCCATGATAAAGTTATTGTCTCCGCGCCGCTTATACAAAGTTAGTCACATGACCAAGATGTGAACCCACTTTATGCACAGGAGGATCATTGAAGGAAGGTCAGAGTGCTCCGAGAATGAGAGTGCTGACAGCCTGCATCATCACTCCAGAGGTTCCCCACACACACAACAAAAAGCCCATGGTGGAATGTGTCTACTAGTATACAAGTCCAATCTGGAGGGATAGAAACATCAGTATCGGCTCGAAATCACGTCTACTCAATGCTATTGTTTTATCCATACTCCTTTATGCTTGCCAGTCTTGGACCTTTTAAAACTGCTGAAATTGTGAAAAGATCGAGGCTTTCGAAATGAGAAGCTATCGACGCCTTCAATCAGGATTCCGTTCACTGATCACCGGACGAATGTGTCTGTTAGAGAGGAAATAAATAGTATTCACAAACAAGTCCCACTTATTGTTTCTGTTCGTAAAAGGAAATTGCAATTTTTTGGTCATATTGTTCGTTCTGGCTGTTTGTCATTGACTGTTCTTCAGGGTTGTGTTGCTGGAGGTCGTGGCCGAGGCGGACCTAGAATGTCATGGCTTGATAATATTATTTCATGGACTGCACTTGATGTACAGTCCCTGCTCGCTGCTGCACGCGATCGATTTTTATGGCGCTCGCTTGTTCATACTTGCTCTGTGATGCCCCGACGGCAAGGGCTATGGTCTTGTGATGATGATGGTGATACGAGTCCTCCAGTTTCTTGCTCTACCCAGTCACCAGGAGAAAATGTGATACAAGTGTAGAAATTATGTACTTGAACAACATATTACTAAAGGTGCTGTCAGGTGCCGGGCCTCAGGAGACAATGACAATGTGATACAAGACATTCGTCATGTATTTGAACAACCATACAGTGCTGCTGTCAGGTGCAGGAGAACCGAGCTAGGGAGGGGGGGGGGGGGGGGCAGAGTAAAACTTGCCCTAGAGTTTTGGGGATTTCAGGGGGTGTCGGCCATTGGGCGGTTCAATAGCCAATTGAGTCATCTTTCCAGGATTCCTTTTGAGTCTCTCTTCCCGGCTCTCCCGGGGGGACCCACGTGACCAGTTTTGGCAGTGAGCAACACGTCCAAGTACAAGTGTGTGTGTGTGTGTGTGTGTGTGTGTGTGTGTGTGTGTGTGTGTGTGTGTCCCATATGGTGCAGTGGTATGTGCAGCGATTTTCAATCGATAGGTTGCGGATTCAATTCCCGACGATTATGGTCTTTCTTCTCTTTCTCAGACTCTTCTTGACTTTTCTTTCATTCTCCTGGGTGGTTACCAACAGCCAGTGCATGCCGGAGTATGTGGTGTGATGTGCGTGCGCCTGTGCAGGAAAAAAAAATGAAAAGACCAAAAATAGGGATTCACTGGCCAGAAAAAGTCACTTCAAATAGCTGTATGGTGTGGACCAGGCTGAATAGTGACGGTCAATTCTTCAGCCTTGCAAGCTGTTGAATGGTGCAATCCCAGCACAAGTTGCTATGGCTTCTGCCTCCGGCGATGGGCGTCAAAGGTCAAAGGTGTGTGCCTGTGTGTGTGTGTGTGTGTGTGTATATGTGTGTGTGTGTGTGTGCCTGTGTGTGTGTGTGTATATATGTGTGTGTGTGTGTGTGTGTGTGTGTGTGTGTGTGTGTATGACTGTATGTGCAGCGTAACAGAACACCTATCTACTATGCAGCACGGGAGGGGTTCCGTGACGTCACCGAGTGTCTACTGGACATCAATGTCAAACAAGTGTCATTCCGTACACAAGTGAGTTGCCGGACTGGTCAGCTATATGATGAGGAGGGAGGGGTGGAATGCTTGGATTTATTCATGCATAGGTTTCCAGTTCTCACTGCTGTTGCCGTCAGCTAAAAGGGACGAACTACCCCCCCCCCCCTCTTGCGCGACCGCGCCACGCACCAAAAGGCCAACTGACTTGTTTACTTAGAGATGTGTACAACACTGGCATCAGGCGCGTACGCAGGGTCACCTCTAGGGGGGTTTCCAACCGAATTACAATGTGTTTTTTAAACCCTTTAAAAAATTCAAAAGTCGCGTTCCTTGGATCATAACTTCAGTTCTACTCACTCAATCATCATAATCTTGGGCTTCCTGGAAGTGGAATGGTATCCACGAGAGAAAGAGAATGAGGTCGACGATGATAGCCAGGACACTGCAGGCGCTTAGCACCGCCGTTGGGGGTGGTCCGGGGTGTCCCCGGGAAATTTTTTAAATTACGGTTCAAAATCCTGCATTCTGGGCACTTTTGGCATTGGTCCGGCCACGTGGACGCGGACCGGCTGCTACACTGCTGCACTGTACCTGTATCCAGCGCTAGAGTGCAGCAACGGTGCAAAAATGCCCCAAAGGCCCAAACGCATCCTGCTCCAGCGATTTCGTTTTTCTCGATCGCAGAGTTTCGATTGTTTTGCTGTTTACTCTTGAGAATATCACAAGTCAAAGTGAAGCCCCTGCAAATTTGAGCAAGTCAATGTGACGAATAGTCTCAAATTCTCGATACTCAAGTCGCACTGCGCGCTTTGGAAATTGCTGAGATCGCGGCTCAACTTACGAATGCTATATCTTAAGCACCATTGCTCGCAGCGCTTCGCGAATTGTTTCTACCGATAGCTGAGAGTTTTCTATTCCACCTGGATATTTGGATCGTTGGAATTGAGCCAGATTTGACTGAGTTACGATCTGTTGAAGTTTGCATTCCGGTCAGATCAATAGCACGCCCTACCAAAATGTGCCCAAAAATGTTGCTCGTTTGGAACATTTGGGGGGTTTCTGGGCAACGGGAAACCCCCCCCCTGCGTACGCGCCTGGGCATCACCGTCACTGTTTCTGTTGTTGCCCCTGTTGGCAGCGGTGGCTATTGTTGTTGTTGCTGCTGTCCCCTTGTTCTTTTTCTTGTTTGTGCTGCTGCTGCTTCTTCTGCTGCTGTTGCCGTTGCCTTTTATTGGCAAATTAATATTTGATATTTCAAGACCCCAAGGTAACAGTGCTCGACAGCAAGGAAGTAACTGGGAAGGGGGTAGTCAGGCGCGTGCCCCGTATGGGTTCCTGGGTGCCCGGAACCCCCCCCCCCCCTTTTCGCTCAAAATGCAGGGTTTTGCTTCATTTTTTGAAATTTTTCCCGGGGGAGGTCCCCGCAACCCCCCCTTCCCCTTGAAGGGCACTGGCGCACGCGCCTGGTAGTTCAGAGGGAATTGAAGATGAGGGATGGGGAGGGAGAGAGAGAGAGAGAGATAGAGAGATAGATAGATAGATAGATAAATAGAGAGAGAGATAGAGAGATAGATAGATAGATAGATAGAGAGAGAGAGACAGAGAGAGACGAGTAGAAGGTGATGGAGGATCATTACAATTTTACAAAATGTGTGTTCTGCATGTACACATGCGTTTATGTGCATTCGGGCATGTGTGTGTGTGTGTGTGTGTGTGTGTGTGTGTGTGTGTGTGTGTGTGTGTGTGTGTGTGTGTGTATGTGTGCCAGCTAGTTTGGTTGGTAGGTACACTTATGCCGGATAGTGTTGGGTCTGTTGCCAACGGGCTCGGCTGCTTGAAGGTGTAATGTTGTACCTACCACCTTTGTTGGTTTCAGGGTTCATATACTTTCTATTTGAAGTATACATACCTGTTAACCATGGACTACTTCTGGCTAGATTAACTCTTGTGTAATCATGGTGCTAGTGAAGCTTGTATCAGATCCACTCTGATTTAGCCACCCACACTAGTAGCAAGTATTACCTTCACTGGGGGCAGGGGTAACTGCAGTTGGATCCCGGGACGGATACCCTGATGCCGTCAATCCTTTTTCTGCACCTTGTCCTCACCCACTTACTGAGGTGTGGTGAGCCCATAAATGGGATCATTTTCCAGTCCCGGCCACCCAGAGTTTTGGGGATTTCAGGGGGTGTCGGCCGTTGGACGGTTCAATAGCCAATTGAGTCATCTTTCCAAGATTCCTTTTGAGTCTCTCTCCCCTCTCCCGGGGAGACCCACGTGACCAGTTTTGGCAGTGAGCAACAAGTGAGCAACAAGTGAGCAACAAGTGAGCAACAAGTACAAGTACTGTATAAATGGAAATATTCATCTGGAATTTAATTTGGTCTTTTTCGGAAGAGGAAAGGTGGTTCTTGACCAGGGAGTTGTACGACTCCTTGTTCTTGACCTGCCCGGTACGCGAACCCGTTGAATTTTTTTCGTCCAAGGAGCTTTTCGATTAAATTAAATGCCGGACTAATGTCGATTTGTCAAGCTTTTGCAGTTTGGATGAGGAAGGTTACGCTTTCTCTCTCTCTTTGGAGAGGCATGTATTTATCGGAAATAGACTAAGACATCGAATGTAGAGTGACAAGCGGCGTTCTTCAATGCCATTTCGCCACCCTGAATGTTAGAGGAATTTCGGCTAAGTCCAAACAGGACGCGCTCAGCAGAGGATTATCGTCGTACAAAATCAACGTTTCAGTGCTGCTTAAATTAAAGGAGACGAGGCTCGTGGCCGGGTTAGATATTGAGAGCAAATGAAGAGTGACAAGCGGCGTTCTTCAACGCCATTTCGAATTGCCACCCTGAATGTTAGAGGAATTTCGGCGAAGTCCAAACAGGACGCGCTCAGCAGAGGATTATCGTCGTACAAAATCAACATTTGCTGCTTACAGGAGACGAAGCTCGTGGCCGGGTTAGATATTGAGAGAGGCGGGTATCGGCAGATCTGTTTTCTGCCGGAATGTCGACACTACGGCCTAGGTTTCGCAATATCGTCATCCTATGCTGCGAAGATTCACCGTTTCTGGCAAATTTCCGACCGAGTTGCGGTACTTACTCTTCACTCATGTCAGAATGCTGACAACAAGCCAGAGAGGGCAAACTTCTCCTTCGCCGTTATCAACGTGTACGCGCCAACAAGCTCAAAATGCTCACAGTCAGCAGACGAGCTAGACAAATTTTACTCAGCATTGTCGACTGCATACGAGCAGGTCAGAGGCTACACACTGCTCTACATTGCCGGAGACTTCAATGCTAAAGCTGGAGTCAGAAGACCGGGCGAGACTGCTGTGGGGAGTCATGGCAGAGGAATTCGTAATGTGATTGGACAGTCACTTGTGGACTACTGTGACAGCAATGGCCTGTACCTGGCCAATACCACTTTCCAGCATGCTGCTAGGCACAAAACCACGTGGACTTGATGGCGAAGAGACGTGGCGTCTGGGAAAACAGTGCCTATATTCAACCAAATTGATTACAGTAAAACCTGTAACTAAAGACCACCGTGACTAGCGACCAGCCTGGTACTACCGACCACTTCGCCAGGCACGGAAGGTCTCACATTCAAAATGCACTGTGACTAGCGACTACCTGCTGAACGCAAACAGCGACCGCCTTTTCCTGTCCCAAAGACAATTTTTGACCCGTAACTAGCGACCGCGATGTAGGAAATCAAATGTTGCTCGAAGCTCCTTCTTGAAATTTTGCTGATTTGCCATGGTCCTGAAAGGAATCTTTCGATACTACAGCTGAACAAATGAACGCAGGTAATTTTGTCTGTGGAGTCGGTGTGGACTGCACTACACCTGTCAAAATTTCAAGCGCTGTCAAGAATAAACATGATAGGAAACGTCTTGGAGAGCGCATTGAAAGCGCTCTCTGATCGATGTTACTACTCGGAGGAGAAACAAAGACTGGGCGGCTCTGTCACCCCAGTCATACAGATGAATCGACGATGGCATCAAGGAATCCAGAAACAAAGCAGCACCGCAAGGTCCTGATGCTGAAGGATCGCGTTCAAGCAATCGAGAAGTCACAACAAGGACAGTCGGTACGATTGATCGCATGAACAAATTTGAAGCCCAGCGCAAAACGAAACTTCCCAGGGAACGTTTGACTCCTGGCTTCAGAAGTAGCAGCTGAATTTGAAGTCTGCAAAAAATTTATCTTCTCTCTCTCTCTGTCTCTCTCCATCTCTCCGTCTTTCTCTCCAAGTGTTGTTTGACCTGAAATAAGAATGACATTGCGCAAGTCCTGGGGAATTGTATTAGCTGCATTTTGACATACATATCATATAATGGGATCCACATATGGTCACGCGGTGCAAACCTCTAACTAAAGACCACCTGCTACTAAAGACCGCTTTTGCTGGCACCAAGGGGTGGTCGCTAGTCACAGGTTTTACTGTTCATTGTGTGCCGTTCATCCCACAAGAGAATGCTGCAAAATTGCCGGAGCTACGGAGGAATGGAGATCAGCACCGACCACAAGCTTGTTGTTGCGGATTTGGATCTAGCCAGGATTTACGGTGTTCTTGGAGCATGTCAGCCGTCAAGTGCAAGACACAGCACCGCATCCACAGGACTCGCGCTGAATGTCAGTTTACTCGTGGAGGACAAAGCAATGCAGAAACGGTACCAAGAGAGGCTGTCCTCCATCATACCTCCCGTCTGTGACGATGCCAGGCCATGTGACGAAGTCTACAATGACATCGTGACAGCTGTTAAAGAAACCACACACAGCACTGTCGGTCAAGTAAAGAGAACCAAGACAAGAAAACAATCGAATGATCCCGAAATTGAGAAGCTGTCAAAATATCAGAAGGAGCTCAGGTTGAGCTGGATCAACGCCCCGGATGGAGATAAAAGGTCAAGGCTTAAGCAAGATCGCAACGGGGTTCAACATGAAATTAGACAGAGATGCAAGAGGGATGCGGAAAGGAGACTGGACGCAATGGCTGAGGAAGTTGAGAAACTGAAGGACGGAGCAAAGATGTTCAAGGCAGTTGCTCTAATGACGAGGAAACGTGCCCAGCAGCTGGTGGTGGAGGATGACAAAGGTAGACTTGTAGGTAACACTACTGAGTCCCTTGACATCATCAGATCCCACTTCAATACACAGTTTAACCGGCCTGATGCTTCACCGGTCCTCCCGTTTCATGGAGATCCCCGATCTCTTCAAAACCCGATTACAGCTCATGAAATGTATTCGTGCATCAAGAAACTCAACAACAACAGAGCCTGTGGACGCGATGGGGTTAATGCAGAATGTTTAAAGTACGGAGGTGAGACGCTGGCCCAAGCGCTGGCTCAATGCCTGAATTGCATGTTTGAGACGCATCATCCAATTGAACTCGGACAAGGCATGTTAATACCCCTGCCGAAGCCAAACAAAAAGAAGGGACCTCCCGGAAATCCTATTGTGCTGCTGAATTCAACCAGAAAGGCCCTTTCTCTCCTTACACTGCGACGCATCCAGCCAGCAGTGGACAGCTATCTGAGTGCATCCCATAGTGGCTTCCGTCCTGGCAGATCCACGGCTGATGCAGTCTGGACGCATCGCTGGCTAGCCGCTATCACCCAGAAGTACCATGCCACCATCGAGATACACGGAATAGATATGAGCAAGGCATTCGACACAATATCGAGAGAGAAGCTGCTCACGGTGGTCAATGGCATCGTGAAGGAGGATGAAGTCCGACTTATCCGAGTGCTTCTTTCCAATACAAGCCTATCTGTGCTCGTGTGTAAGCAGCAGTCATCGGAGTTTGAGACCACGATCGGCACCCCACAGGGCGACTGCCTATCTCCAGTTCTTTTTGTCATTTACTTGGAATCAGCGCGACGTGATCTCAGGGCCACGTTACCTCCCAGGCCGCCAGCTGATGATCTCTTGCCTGGGGAAGTTATCTATGCAGATGATACGGATTTTCTGAGCAGCTCACGGACATGGTTGGACAGTATCAGCCCGAGCATAATTGAGGTCCTCAGAGAATGGCATCTCAAAGTGAACGAAGAGAAAACTGAGCAAACAACACTACGCAGAGAAGGGGATCGTCTAGCGGAAATCTGGAGAAAGACACGTTAGCTTGGGTCACTTCTGGGTGATGAACAAGACGTGATCAGAAGGAAGCAGCTCGCAACAGCAGCTTTCAGGTCAGTCTTTGTTGTATGGTGTCGACGAGAGCTTATTAGTGAGAAGCTGCGCCTGAGGCTCTATCAGGCGTTTGTCATACCAGTACTGACCTACAACGGCGGAACATGGGGCTTGACGTTGGCTTTGGAGCAGAGTCTCGATTCCTTCCACCGTCAGCAACTGCGATCACTCCTTGGCATTAGTTGGCCTCAGAAGATGACGAGTGTCTCTTTGTACGCCAGGTGCAAAGCTGAGCCAATCACCAGCATTCTCAAGCGTCTGCGGTGGCAACTCTTTGGTCACATTCTCCGCTTGCCAGAGGACACCCCAGCATCATTGGCAATGGCGGCGTATTTCACGCACGATGAGAAGACCTGGCGAGGACGCCCACGTGTCACAATTGTCACGAAGCTGTCGGGAGACCTGGCGGGAACGGATCATGAAAGGCTTGTGTCGCTTGGTGACTTGCAGCGCCTCCGGATCCTGGCAAGGGACCGTGCAGGGTGGAGAGGACTCTGTGCCGTCGTATGTTCCCCTTGACTGGATTGCACAGAACGGATATATCTGATGTCATTTGATTTATGTTTTTGGCAGAGCATTCTATTTCCGACATATGCGAATATGTGGGTTGCCATTGTGCGGCTGACATTGCCGCGGAAATGCATATAATAATAATAATAATTTCCATACACTCTTATGATCCATCGACGAAATTTTCAACCGGACGAACTCCCTTCCTTTGGAGTTGGACGAAATTATTGACCGACGAAAACTTTCTGCTTGTACAGTGCAAGTGTATGTATGTGTGTGTGTGTGTGTGTGTGTGTGTGTGTGTGTGTGTTTGTGTGTGTGTTTGTGTGTGTGTGTCCACTTGAATGTGCTCACGATCAGGGTGGCTTCACACCACTCCACGGTGCTGCGTTCATGGGACAGCTGAACACCGTCAAGTACTTGCTAGAAAGGAGCAAGGAACAAGCTACTTGGAAAGCAGCGGTGAGTGCACTAAGGAGAGATCGTGGGGTCTCATGTTCGCACCAAGCCGTAGGGGAAGTTGTCAGGATTTTCGCCCAAGATTACTATCATGCAACATTCCGGGGCAGAATACAGTTTTCTGTCTATTTATCTGAAATAGTTCCGCTGGCTTTTGAAAGCCCGATTTTGACTGAATTGGCAGCACTATGTTACGAGACTGTGACAGTGCACAGTTGGTGTGCAACGTCCTCGATGCTAGATCGAGGCCAAGCAAATGACTATGCACACATACTGAGACGGGTGGTGCCAGGAAATCCGGAGCCGCGTCAACTCAAACGGGTTTACAAAGAGAAGAGCGGTAACTATAGCGACGGCGATGACGGTGCTGACGCTGATTATGATGATGAACACTCCTGGCCATTGACGTTCACTATTTTCCTGTGTTTCTCTGATCAAGAACGGCTATACGCCGCTGCATTTGGCTTGTGATCGAAATCATCCCAACGTTATCCCCCCACTGACTGCAGCAGTAGCAAACTTCATGGCTACTGACGAGGTGAGTGCAATACTCTCACACTATGATAGCTTTCAACATGGAAGGTGCATGCTAGCCGTTTTTAATACAGCACCTTTAAAATTATTCTTTACCTTTTACATGTACTGTATACCCACTTGTTGTGCAAGCCAGCGAGTGGCATGTTAGTCTCTACCCACAACGTTCCCAATGGCTAGACCACGACTGGGCTAGAGTACTGTATTAAAGTCAGCAAATATTCGGCGCGTATTTATTTTCGAATATTTTCGGCCTGGTCATGTTTGGCCGGAAATCTGTTGCAGCCGAAAATAAGTTTTGCAAGGTCCAGTATGACAGTGTATACAGGAGGCAGCAGTACAGGCCGAACATGTGATGCGGCTGAAATTGTTTTAGCCCTGGAGGCCGAATTTTGAATGGGCCGAGCATTTGTCGACTACAGTACCCAGGAGGGTGTGCAGCCGAAAAATAGGATGCCTGATAGCCGCGGTGAAGTTACTAGAAATCTTCCGTGTCTCCTAACTGCAGTCACCACTACTTTCTTGCCTGTGGATTTCCAGGACTTTCAGCTTCTAGTACAGGTGTACTCTTGTTTTGTTTCCTGTACTGATGTAGGTTGATAGGACAGCGCTAGAGGCTGCTGTGGCTTACAACAATACAGACAGTGTTGGCGTCATGTTGGACTGTATGTGGCAGCACCTTAGCCGAAGTCAGGTTAGTCTCTGAGGAGAATGCAGGGGCCACGTCGCACACGCTATGGACACCATGGTATTGACCGTACCACTCTTCGCCCCAGGCACCCCGAGAAACAATGACATGCCGCTGACTGGTCTGGGCTGACATGCCGCTGACTGGTCTGGGCTGACATGCCGCTGACTGGTCTGGGCTCTAAATGTTGAAAACACTTCAGTGGAGCCATCCCAACCCCACAAGAAAATTGTACTTCAAGTTGCTAATCGTACCACCATAAAATAACTTCCGACACCCCTGGAATGTGGAATGCCGTACGTGTTTGAGCGGCATACAACCCTCAGTGCTTAGATGAGATGCTGTGACTGTTGCTCTTTAGCTTGCAATGCTTGATTCCTGTAAGTCATGAGCTGACATGCTATTCTAGGGATTTAGTGTGGTGTCTTTCCCAGAGCAGTGTGTGTGTGTGTGTGTGTGTGTGTGTGAGTAGGAAGGGACGAGCGGGTTCTGGGACAGGGGGCGCCCGGGTCCCAAAAAATGGGGTATTATTGAAAATGGGGTACTAATAGTACCCCATTTTTGCGGTGAAAATTATTTTTGGCCCGGTTTTTTTGCGGATAAAAATATGTGCCAGGGGGTGCCCCTACCTCAAAAAAAAAAAAGGGGGTATTATTGAAAATATGTATTGGGGTGTTATGCTCTACCCTAAACAATAAGGTAATATGGTGTCATGATTATGTAAGTATAAAAGGTGTGTTCTTGAATGATGATCCAGTCAGTTTCAAGTTGTTGTGGTGCAGTGAAAATGGATTCTGAATTTGAGATCCTGTATGCTTATGTACGTTCAAAGAAGCAATGTGCGCTGGATGAAAAGAAGAAGAAGAAGAAGAAGGAGATAGAGGAAAGTGAAGAAGTGTGTTATCATCGTGAAGAACAAGTTGAGCATGCTGGTCATAGAGTTTGTTCTCAGTGTGGATTGGTAATGGCTGACATTTACATGCCCGAGGTAAAGTGGAGAGAGCGTTGTACTAGCATAAAGACCTACACGGATTCCGATCGCATTCAAGGTGTGAATCGTCATCTTGTACATTTTCTCAACAAGATCGACTTCACTTTACCGCATGCACAGTTTCACCCTGTTCAAGAGGCACTGCAAGCAATGAAGAAGTCCAGCAGCTATAAAAGCATGAACTATGCAATAGCATTATCGTGTATACTTCATGAGGATCATGATGCAGTGCGCACACTGCGTTCTTCTTTACCGCGCAGTAATGTATCATGGTTGAGAAGCAGCCGCATTACACAACCTCTTCCATCATGTTTTCCACTGATGTTTCTTCTACATCTCATGGAACACATCAAGGGTCCTCTGTCCGCTAGACAGCTGAACACTCTGAAAGTTAATTTGTCCTTGATGTCACCTGCAGACCTGTCCATGATGCATCTTCTAATAGATGCCTATTGTTGGCATGACTACAGTCTGGATTATTTAGTAGATCACGTGACCTCTCTCCCACCTGATCTTGCCAACATACTCTATCAATTTACCAAGACTGCAGTACGTCATCAATGTTAGCAATGCGTTGGAGATTTACACTCTCGGGAACCTGTTCTGAGACATGGTCGAGACACGTTCAGTCATGACCGAGACATGTTCCGACAGGTCAAGTGCAAGTCGTGCTGTGATTGGTTAAATCTTATCATCTGCTCACCGTGTCCTCTGATTGGTTGATTCTTGAACAATTTCACCGTGTTCTCCAAGGTCGTCACCTCCCATAGGATGTTATTTCAAACTCTGCGGCGGTCAAAAGGGTATATATGTGCAAGCACAGTCCTCCATTCACTCACAACTGCCTTTGTTGTTTCGTTGCTCAAGCCTTCTCTCTCTCTCTCTCCCTCTGGATCTCACTGGATCTCTCGTGACTGATATCATGATGGCCACTGATGCTGTTGTTGCTGGTGAAGATGTTGTGGACTGTTTGGGTATTGACCCGTTCGCTATCAAGACGATAAAGAAACCCGGTCTCTACAAGCGACGTGCTAGCCGTAATCCGAATCTGGAGCCTCTGCCTAAGATCAAGATGCCATCTCCTCGTCCTACCATACTACCAGGTGTCGCCACCATTATTACGGATGGGGCAGCAGAGTGTGTTCAAGCAATGTACAGCAAGACCGCCCACGACTATCATGTTGCTCCTGGCACCGATTTCTACTATACGCGCGGTGATTTACCGGGCATGCTTGTCAATGGCACGGTATGTGAAGGACGCTTTGGTCAACTTAAGCTGTACGTCCAGGCTTCACAAGACGATCTCATTCAATTCTTCCTGAAGACCTCAACACCTTTGAGACGTGCCGTGAGATCTCCACATATCAACAGGATACGGAGTAACATCTTCCCTGCAATGTACCAAGGGAAGAGTGTGACTGCTTTGTATCTCAAGCCAACCAAGGGTGTGCCCAACTTCCCGATGAACGAAGAGTGTCAGCTCTATCTGCATCCTTCCACTATATCTTTCAACAGGGAGAAGTGCGAATTCAAGGCATGGCTTTCGGCAATCCCCCTGATGTTTGTAGACTCACGGCTTTGTGAAAGGGATCACGACACCGTGCAAGACCTTCCCGAGACTGAATTGACTCGACTGGTGATTGCATTCCTCAAGAAGTGGAGCACTGCTGACAACGTGACTGCTGACATTGCGTTTGACACAACGGTGGCGGCGGCAGCGTCTCTCCCTGACACCCTACCGGACAATTCACTGGACTTGAATCTGCTAAATGCTTAGTCTATCTTACCACATTGATTGATCAGAAAGACTTTATATCCTAACCCTTTTTTTTTTTTTTCATGCTCTCTTGCTCTCTCTCTCTCTCTCTTGCTAACATATCATCGCTTCATTAGATTACCACTAGCACACATGAGTATCATAATGATTTATTTGAGAAAGAAAATATTTCCTATCATAATTAGAACAGTGTGTGTGTGTGTGTGTGTGTGTGTGAAGATGGCGTACTGGGCTACGCATTTCCATAGGAGTGATGGGGAGGAGACTTCCCTCAAGCACATGCAAAGCATGCGGAATGATATTACCGAAATACAATCAGTTGTGGGGAACGATGACACCGAAAACACCTTGGTTCATGATGTGGAGAAACTGAAAGAGGTGAAAGCCGATGAGAGCAAAGTGGAAGATGTGGAAAACAGATCTACGCGCTACACAGATCAAGCCATAGCAGCTGATGAGCTGCACGTGAAAACAGATGGATCCGTGTCCATGGATGCTAACCTCAACATGAACGAGCATTCCATCTGTAATTTGGCGTACGATGATAGTTCTTTGACATGTGCTGTCCCTGCCGGTTGGGTCAAGAATGAAATCCAACAAGCATCATCGAGATTGCAAACTGGTATGGACACTGTGCGCAAGATGAAAGGACCTCGTGGTGATCGGGGATTGGGATGGCTTAGCGGAGGTGGCATGCCACTGAACTCTGTAGGGAGAAATGGTGACTTCTATCTCGATGCAACCACGCTCATCGTGTACAAGAAATTCAGCTCGAAATGGAAGGCGTTTGGTCGGCTTCATGGATCAAGAGGTGAAGCTGGTCCACGTGGAGAACGTGGATTGATCGGTCCTGAAGGTGAGACTGGACCTAGAGGAGCTGATGGGCAAGGTGGTGAACGCGGTCAAAAAGGTGATCAAGGAATACCTGGTCCAGAAGGTCCCAGAGGTGAAGTTGGACCACGTAGAGAACGTGGATTGGTCGGGCCTGAAGGTGAGATTGGACCTAGAGGAGAAGATGGGCAAGACGGCCCACAAGGTGAACGTGGTGTGCAAGGTGATCAAGGAACCACAGGTCCCATGGGTCCCCAAGGAACCATCGGTCCAACCGGTCCTCCAGGAAACAGAGGTCCCGTGGGTCTCCAAGGAATCATCGGCCCCATAGGTCCTCAAGGAACCAGAGGCCCCATGGGTCCGCAATCAAATCAGAACCTATCCGATCCGTTTCATCTACTACCTCTCATTCGGAGAAACGCCTACCTCTACATATACTCTCATCCTAGCAGATTTGAATCCGTCACCAGGGTGAGCAGAAACAGATACAGAGGGATAAATCTCGTTGACATGAAGGACAAGAGAATCAACGTGAACAGCATCGACATGTTCCGAGACGATCACTTCTACCTCAACATTACACAACCCAGCCAAGTTTCCATTAGAGAACGATTCGTCAATCTGTTTCACGACAACATGTCTTTTGCAATGTTCCAAGTAATTCAAGTGGACGCACCTGACCCTAGAAACATGGCATTGAAGGCATTCGATATCAATACTGTCGGAAATTTCAGCTTGGATAGTTTGTACGTGTTGTTCACTGCCACCCACATAAGCGGCAACTACTTCACGCGTCCCGGCCATTCATCATTCAACATACCCGTTTCGTCTGTAGTCAGCCAATTATCGGCGGCTTTGGATAAACCTGTGTCGAGTATGACGGATCTCTTGGGTACAAAGTGTGTCATAAGTTACGCTCGGAATTCAGAAGGCCTGTTCACTCTATACGTAAACTCCATTTTGATACATTCCAACTTAGACACTGTCCCATTTTCCAGGACCAATGGAATCGAAGATTGCAATTATAGTATTGGTGGTACTCAATTCTTCAACGGCACTTCATCAAAGTTGTTCTGTCATTTGCACTTTGCAGAGAGTTTATCTTCTCACACAATCCAGCGCATCCACACAGAACTCATGGCACACTACGATATATGAAAGTGCTACTTTGATTGTACATAATATATAGCACACATGCTACACTACATTCTTGAGATGAAAATGAAAAATAAAACCTATCTATAGTGAGTGTCATCACAACACCAGAATGTCTGTGATATTGACAGTGGCGAACAACACGTCGGGCGTGAGCAGGGGATTGCACAAACCGAACTTTACTCTAAATGTGAAGGAGCTCGATACGCGTGATAAAGTCCTGCATGTTGAATCGGCTCAGTTTGAAGTACA